TAAACAAAAACGGCGGTTCGAAACCGCAAGAAGAACGGCGGTTCGTGACCTTGCGAGTTGACTCACTGAGTTGACTCGCTCGAGTTGACCCAGTGAGTTAACTCGCACCGAGTTGACTCGGCGGCTGAGTCAAATCGGTCCATTTTTTTTTTTTTTTTCTGCTCGACGATTCAGCGGCTCAGTGATTCGACGACTCGATAAAGGCTGGCTTTGTGGAGCGACACTGACTCATATCGTTGTTGTTTGGTGTGCAGCGGAGTTGCTTCGTTGAACTCTTCAGTAGAGATGTCGGATAATGCGAGAAAACCATCTGTTCGTGAGAGGAGAGCTGCCGAGGCCAGGACAGAATCGAGCGCGAGAGTGACTCAGCGAGCTAGACCGTTGATGCCTATCCCCAGAGCTGGCACTACTGGAACCCTTGCACCTAGGTCGCGTCGTCCTGAGTTACAGCAAAATATTGTCATCACCGATCGTCAATCTGAATCATCGCATAGGCGTCACGATGACATGAGGGGAAGGGATGATCACGCAGGAGCAAGTCGTATGCGTTCGCGAGAAGAGAAGGAGAAAGGCAGTGTTGGCAAAGAGGACTTGAACAGATCGAGGCACGCTTCAACTCGTCGATGTGATCGTGTGGTGAGGACTTCCACTATTCCTTTTGGTACGAAAGAGTCCTTTGGTGATGTTGCGCGGGCGGCGTCGCATTTGTCCCAGATTGTCTTCCCAGACACTGAGTTTCCCCCTCCAGGAGAGATGTCGAAGGAGAGATCTTACTCAAGCATGGCCTTCGATTGTATAACGGTACGACTTCGTGGCAACTCTCGTGGGATAGCGATTTGATTTTTCCTTCTTTTTRATCTTCTATCTTGTTTTCCGTRATCTGTTTCTTGGTTTSGSAGTTCCTTTCTTCGCTTAACAAGCTCGCGATCGACTATGAGGTGACTGTTCGCTCGCTGACTCGTCAGCTTGCAAATGTTCAGAAGGCTTGCGACGATCATAGGAAGCAGAAAAGGGATGCAGWGGATCGCGTTGCTACTCTCCAAGCTGCTATGATGRAAACCGAGGATAGGCGTCRCAAGATGGATGGGACGTTCACGGAGTCTGAATYCGAGAGGAAGCGTYTTCAGAARGAAGTCTGTGACCTTACCACCCGATTAGATGTTGCTACCAAGCTTCAAGATACGGTCGTGCAGCGGGCTGTAGAAGAAGCGAAGCGCGAGCTGGTGGCAAGGTAYGAGGCGAAGATCGATCGCGCCAAAGAGAAGATCAAAATGATCAATGACCAGCCGAGGATCGATATAATTGACCTTGCTGAAGTCCGGAGTAACATTGAGTTMATAAARYTKCTTYAGAGTGACAAGGCGCCTGATCTCGGTGAAGAGTTCGTTGACCTTGTGAAGCAGGAGGCAGACCTATCGCTCGCGGATGGGGTATTTGCTAAGCATGTGCGCGAACTTGAAGAGATCCTTAAGGATTCGCCTGCTGGCACGACTGATGATCGAGTTGTGGACTCGAACGCTGATGCCGTTGAAGAGGTGGCTGACTCAGATTCGAGTTCTTCGAGTTCGTCAAGCGATGATAACTCGTCGAACTCTGCGGCGGCGATTCCTTCTGAGCAAGCCGTTGAGATTGTCGATGACGTTGAGGAGATCGAGCTTTAGTTGATTTTTATTTTAGCACTTTGTCGTACTTTTGATTTCAGACTTAGCATATGATTCAACTTGGATGGTGTTCATCCTTTTGTTCAGAATTATCATCATTTTTGCCTTACGTTATTTGAGATAACGATTTGAGTTAGGATGATGCTTATCCTTGTTGTGAGACAGGCTGTCGTTGATTGGTTTGTTTTCAAAGATCAACTATATTGTTGTTGGTACCAGTGATAAGTTAACTAGGTTTTCGAATGATCATTTCGGTTTACAGACGAGTCTGCATCGACACGCCCGCTCCGAAAATGACCACGTTATTGTTTAATGACCAACGAAGTTGTTGGGTTTTTGAGATGAACATTCTGGTTTACGGATATGTTCCCGTGAACAAGTCCGCTCCAGCAATGAACATAAGATTTAGACCAGCGATTTGTTGTGTGCTGGGTTTCTGAGTTGAACATTCTGGTTTACGGATATGTTCCCGTRAACAAGTCCGCTCCAGCAATGAACACTGAATTTATATAGCGCGCTTTATC